CCAACAAGACGCCTGTCTCCACGTAGTTTACAAGCCGTGGCTGAAGAAGAATGAGCACATGAACAAGATAGTATCAGACAATGGTGGCCACTATGAATAAAACAAAGTAAGGTGGCAGCGAATAAGATGAGGGCACAGTAGCTGATTAGTGGGCGAGCCCTACAGCGCCACACCTGGGCTTCCACGGAGGTCCTCAGAGCCACCCCAGGGTAGGGCCAGTCCAGGTGGGATTGGCCTTACCTGCCATTGTTGCTAAGCCAGAGCATTCAGATTTATGCATTGAGTTTTGGAAATGGGATCTCCTTTGTTCAAAGGTTCTGAAAAAGAGTTTGAAAAACGCACGGTTGACCGTTATCAAAATACCCTGAAATTCCTCTGCAGCAATGAATTGCTTTCCCATATTTGGCCAGTAGAATTCTTAACATTTCACTGAGTTCACAGGTACTTTATCCGAGTTTTAAAAGAAACCAATGAAAATCACATATTAGCACATGATGAACATGTTTTCAGATCCTTTAGACCTAGATCAGCATGAATTCCCTCCTGGGCCTGCAGATTAATATTCATGAGCACAAAAGGTGGTGATTAGCAACACTGAGGTTTGCTGGCAGGTGCGGCTTTGCCAGTGTCAGGTACAAGTTCCCCTTTTGTAACATGAGCAGAGATAGAAAGGATTTAGCTCAAATCCCCGGGCCTTGCAGCTCTTAGAGAAGGAAGTCACAGTGTCCCCATCGGTCATTAGTGCAATGATCAGGACTGCAGGGTGGGAGGGTAGGAATCTTGACGTGCACTGGGTTTCTCCATGCCATTGAATCACACCAGCTGGTAGAGAGCATTTTACAAATGTGAAGACACCAAGTCCTAGCCCCCTCGGCTTCCCTCTCTCCCTCTGGCTCTCGCCCTTACTCTCTTGCCTTCCCTTATTCTTTCTTTCTCTGTCTCTGTCTCTCTGTGCCCCCTCTAACTCCTACAGCATCCAGGGACAGAGGAGAGAGAGAACCCTCAGGTCACCCTGAGCCTCTGTCTTGGCTACTAATGGTGCAGTCGCTTGCAAAAATGAACACTGTATCTCATTCAATTAATGCACGCCTCATTCCTTCTGAGCTTAACTAGATTAAAGGAATGTCGGGCGCCTGGCCCCAGAATATGAATGAGAGCCTTGCTCCCAGTCTGTGGCGGCCCTTGACTCCCTGGACTCTGAAACAGTCAGAAGATTAATGCACAGCAGCTCTGATGTTCTGTGCAGCACAAAGAGAGCCAGGGAGGGCAGGAAGAGGAAGAGGCAGAGACACCGGAGCTGCTTAGAGAGAGGGTAAAGGGCAGATCTGGATGCGCCACACTGGCTGTGGTGCAGTGGATGAAATCCAGTGGATGAAATTCAGTGTTGCCATCGGTTGGCATCTGGGACAGTCCAGATCCACTTTGGCAGGGCTGAATCTCTTTCACCTTCCAGCTGAAGCAGGCTGTTTAGTTCCGGCCATCGACCCTGTACACAAGTTCAAGACCATTTGAGTTTTCTCCTTGCAGGCAAGTGAATACCAGCCTCTCTGCGAGGTTTCCCTGCCCACAAGGTGGGCATGGTGTCTCACCAAAAGCAGCTGCACTATTTGCTTTACTGTTGTCGAACAAATTTTTTTTTTTAATTTTTTTTTCAACGTTTTTTTATTTATTTTTTGGGACAGAGAGAGACAGAGCATGAACGGGGGAGGGGCAGAGAGAGAGGGAAACACAGAATCGGAAACAGGCTCCAGGCTCCGAGCCATCAGCCCAGAGCCTGACGCGGGGCTCGAACTCACGGACCGTGAGATCGTGACCTGGCTGAAGCCGGACGCTTAACCGACTGCGCCACCCAGGCGCCCCTAAATAAATAAAATTACAGGTAGGGCCAAAGCAAAATGTGACGCTTTAGATGTCCTATCCCTTATAAAATGAACCGTAAAACTTAGCTTCTGGAAAGTTCAAACCAAAGATTTTCCTCATTCAATATGAGCTTCTCCCAAGAGAAAGGATGCTAACTGATAATTGGATATTTGTTGGCAAGAATAGTGACCTGATTTATGGGTAGAGGATGGGAAATCTCGACATGTTATTATTTGTTCTTCTGGACCTGTCCTTTCTGTTAGGGAAAAAAAATCAATTCAAGTAATGACACTATACATCTATTCACCAAATATTTATTAAGCTTAAAATAATGCTGATAACCTAGAACACAAGAAAAGAACAAAATGGACACATGCCCTGTACTCAAAAGATTTTGCTGTGTAGGGATGACTGTGTTGACACAGAAGAGCTATGAAGCAACTAAAAGCATTTATTTGGGTCTCAGAGATCGCAGTCCAGGAGACACAGAGTCGACTGAAATGCAAGCGTGCTCAGAACCAAGAGTGGGGAGTGCAGGCTTCAACAGGCAAAAACCACAAGGTCCAACTTGTTTTGGAAGCATTATCTTTGGCACTAACAGTGTTAAACTGACGATCTAAGGTTGGCTATTCAGCTAACAAATGCTATATTATGTCTATTTCAGTCTAAAGTAAAAGGATGTTTTCCAGGAGGTGGTGAAGGTGCAATCAACAAATTGTCATTGACCGAAGTCAAAAGTCGGCAGTGGCTTCCAAAAATGGAAACAAGAGCCGTGCAGAGACTTTGCCTCCTCCATGTCCTCCCCACCCCCTATTTTGGATGACTCTCTTAGCAGTGCTTGCTTTAGGTTGTAATCTTCCACAAATGAGACTCACAAGCAAATAATTATACTGGAAGGCTGAAAGTGTGGTGCTCACAGGGGATGCCGGATCCGGAAAGACTGCTGGGGAAATGCCTACTAAACACATACGTTAGTCAGGAGAAGGAGGAGCCCTGGGGGAAGTTGTATGCAAGGACAAAGGGTAGCGTTGGGACACTGAGGAGGGAGGAGAGACCCTTAGAGAGAAGACAATTTCATGTCAGCATCACAAGCCCTGCAAGGACCTGGGTTGTCCTTATTTAAATGTTATGCTATGTTAGAGAGAGATGTTTGTGCAATCATGTCTTTTGGCCATGGTAAATATAGGTAAGAGGTGTCAAGATCCAGGTTTTGACGGTGTAGAGCCCGGCCCCTTTACTTCCTGACTCCTGTGGACAGAACAACTTAGGTCAGCAACTCTAACATTCTAGGCTGCTTAGCACAGAAGAGAAATAGCGTGTCAGGCAGAGAACAGTATGACATGGCACCAAGCAGCAATGTCTGGAGGGTAGTAGTAGGGCAAAATGCCCATCCCAGTGGCGGCTGCTGCATTCACCCTGGAGAGGCTTGTTCTGGACAGCCGGAAGGTGGTGTGAACTGTGGACGCTCACAGGCATGTCCCTTCTGCATCCGTTTGTGCAGCTCAAGCTTACCCACACACACTCGTGGAATGCAGGACTCAAATTTTTTAATGTCCCAGCAAGAAGTCGCTCCTACAGGTTATTGGAGTAGCACAAACTTTACCAAGGTAACATAGGGGAGAAAGAGGAGGGGGTTGTATCATGCACCCCATTTCCAGGATATTTCAGAATTACCCATACAATATTTCTGTCCTCCCCACAGCCCCTTCTAGCTACCATGCAACTTGGGAATCATCTTTTTCTGACTCCCTCGATCTTTGCACTGTCCCTATTCCTCTCTCTGCCCCTTAACCTCTAGGATTTTCTCTTAAAATTTCAATATCAATTGAGTTCCTCCCAGCCCACTGTCACGCACAGTGGGTTTATTTCCCCGCCCCCCTCCTCTGGCCCCTGGTCAATACCTAGTCACTGGAGGCTGAGCTTCCACCTAGAAATAGACTTGTCGGGGCACCTGGGTGGCTCAGTCGGTTGAACGTCGACTTCGGCTCAGGTCATGATCTTGTGGTTCCCAAGTTCAAG